TGAACATTTATCTAATCCACCCTGCATCACACAGTAGAGTCTCCCGAGGGTCTGCATGAAATGTCAGTTAAATATCAGAGACATGAGTTCCCGCTGACCATAATACTCCCTCAGAGAGCTCCAGCTATCATATGAGCAGTGATGAAGTGCAGCAAAGTGAGTGAGCAACAGCTGGGGTGCAGATATTGCAGTCATCTGTTCTCACTCCTTAAACAAAAAAAACTGCTGGGGAAAATGTCAAGACAGGCGTAAATGAAGTGAATATTTTTAGGGTTCAACACACAGATTAGATAGAGGACAACATAAATTCAGCTTTTCTTTTGTAATACTATTTACAGTTTAGCTTCCACTCACACACTTACAGTAAGTTGCTGTTTTTCAAATGAAGTCGATAAATGAGTTTTTACTGACATCTCATGGTGAATTCTTATCAATACACTGACCTTCATGGTACAACCAAGTGTGTGTGAACGGGACAGTTGTTGATTTTATTGAAGTACATTTACTCAACTATTGTACTTTTTGACATATTTGTGCCACTTATTTAAGTTTTTTCATTTTATGCTACATATACTTTGTGTCGAATATTGTACTTTTTTAGCCATATCATATATTTATCTATAATTGAGTTACTAGCCCATTTTTAAATATAAATTGGCTCAACATTGGTAAACTAAATGTAAAATACATTACATGTTATTAAAACCTAATACTACCATTCGGCATACTGAGTGCTATTACCTGTGACTTTTATTGAAGAACAATTTTCATAATTATGTACTTCTAACTTCTATTTTTGCAGATAAGTATTACAGAAAATAGTATTTCTGCTTTAAATCAAGTTAAACGTTCACTAAATATTTCAACTCCTTAACATTTCGACTTAATTCTAAACACTTCCATTTATTCTTAAGATTTTGACTTTATTCCCGACATTTCCACTTTATGAATATTGAAGTATCAATGTTTTTTTATTTGTTCTCAATATTATAATATTTATTCTCGACATATTGACTTTATTCTCAATATTTTGACTTTATTCTTAATATTTGTAACCTCATGTATTGATTTATTTACCCTTATGCTGGTCCTTATAGCTTTCTTTCTGACAGAATATCAGCCGCTTCCTTTAAGCCTATCACTAATTCATGTGAGTTAGATAAACACATGCTTTCCCCCCATGAGAAAATATAAAGTTATGACGTCCAGAACAGAAGCGGATTGTCTATAATCAAGATGGAATTCAAAGTGGACATTCACTTTAGAGCTACTTAAGGATGAATTACACGGATGCTCGAGGTTAAAGAGCGTTTATAGACTGCAGGCTTCAGCGTAATCTCTGTGCTTTGAAAACTATAACCAAATTAGATGAAGTCAATATGGTGCAGGCCTCTTCTTATCCTATTATGGTTGGGCCTTCTCCACTGGGTATTTGAATAACCACACCGGCTCCACTTCATGTTATGTAATAGCTGCTGTTAGAAGCAAAGTGCTGCGTGCTGACACCAGGAAGAGTTTAAGACATGAAATACAATCAGATCATTTATTTTACATAAATAGTCGGCAAAAAACTATAGCAGGTTGAAATACTTTCAGTCCAAAAAACTTGATCGGCATCAGTTGCGGAATGTTATTATTATTATTATAATATTTTTTTTGTTTGTATTATTACCTATTTTTTACTTCCTTTTTGATAGTTTTGTTGTACCTTATTTTACATATTTTTTATTGTAGACTAAATGTTTTTAATTGATACCAATTTTGCTTGACTATTGCATTCTTTTTTACTTTTGATTTAAATGTTGCTCTATGTTATTAAAACAAGGCCAATTATTTTCCTCGGAAAAACTACAAAAATAAACCTGCATTTATAATTATTTATTTATTACACCAGATATTTAAACCTTAAAGCAGGAGAAGAGAAAAAAAAGTATGTATTTTCAGACAGTTTTACAGCAGCTAATTCAGAAATAATAAGTAAACAAAGGTAAACAACGTTTTTTTATTGTAGCACGAGGAAAACACAAAAGAATAGTGTTTTTATTATAAATCTTGCTCTTGTTTAATTAAAATTTATTTCCAAGGTTTGCTGTTTTCAACCCTCGACACATTATTGGTTATTTGATTAATGTTACATGTTACAGTTAATCAGTTACACCTGGGCTCCTTAACATATCTGTGGAAAGTCAGCACAGCTGCTGCCCCCATCTGACTAATCAGCCGGGTAATTAAAAACACCTGTGTAGATGTGCATAGTATTTAAAAATGTCCAAAAAGATCAAGGACTTTGCTGATCCCCTGACTTTCCATCTGGTGCCTTGATCAGGTCAAAAAGTTCAATTTGTCCAGTTCACATTCGCCTAAAATGTACTAAAATGCATTTTACCTGCAGAACACCAGACTGTCATAAATAAGTAAAGACTGTCACTGGAAATACTTAAATATACAGTAATTTAGTGCTGCTCGATGATTCGCTTGGTTTTGTCAGTCTTGAAACAAAAGTTGTTCACTTTTATGTGATATCAAACAGAAAAGATGGACATCTTAAGAGGCTGAACTGCATTTTTCTGACATTTGTGCAAGAAAAAAGTCTTGAAAATGTAATCGTAAATGATGTAGCATATAAATAATTGCAATACAATATTGTTATATAATGATATTGCAAACTATCCAATTTTGAATGTTTAGTACTTTTACTTTGGATAATTCAAGGGCTTTATTGCATTTCTACACTGGAACTACTACTTTCATTCAAGTAAAGGATCAGGAAAAAGCATATCAATAAATGATAAGTAGCTCCACCTTTACCAACTGCAACACTAAAGTGATGTAATTATAACCCAATATTGCTATTCTAAAATGGCCCATTTTGTAAAATAAATACTATTACTTTTGATACTTTAAGTACATCTTGATGTTAATACTTTTGAACTTTTTTTTTAATGAATTTAAATGTGTACACTGTGGAGCTGTACTTTATTTTCACTAAATAAAATAAAATATCTAGATCAGGGGTGTCCAAACTTTTTTCAATGAGGGCTACATACAGAAAAATATATAAAGGGCTGGGCCACTCACTAGAGGTGAGGTGTATTGCCTCATAAGGTCAGTTATAAGTTGAAAAATCAATTATTCTTGATACTTGAAAATGCTTGAAGAAAAAAACAGTCTACATAACTGCTCTCCATAGGGTTTCATTAATTTTGTTAGCAGCTCATTCCTTAAAACAGAAGCTTCAGATTGCTTATAATAAGAGGAAATACGAAGGGTATATTTCAAGGTTGTTATGTACATTTGTTATTGGGCTCTTTTCTCATCAACTAAGATTTGTTAGAAAATGTTTTCAATTTATTTGAAAATTGGGCATATTAACACATGAATACAGTGTAATATTATTGAACATATATTTTGAAGAAGTACAATATAAGACAAGCAGAAGTTTATTATGCTGAAGTCATTATACTTTTTGAATTTGCTGAGGGCCAATTCAAAATGGTCCGCGGGCCGCATTTGGTCCCCGGGCCGTATTTTGGACACCCCTGATCTAGATACTTCTTTCACCATTAATATCTAGGACAACATGCATTTTGAAATATGCCTTAACACCAAACTATAAAGTTACATACAGGTATAACTTGATTAACTTAAAATCTAAGAGCCAATAAAGAGTATTTTAATAAGTCCAAAAAGTATTTTTACTGCAGTTGCTTCACCAGCTCCTCGTCAGTGACAGGGTCTGGAAGTTTTTGCAGATTCAACATTTTCTCCCTGCCGAGCTTCAGCTTCGGTTTAAAGCCCACGGAGAGCAGCTCCTTCTGGATCCTCTGCTCCCTCTGCCGGCTCAGCAGAGTGAGTATCTCCCGCCTCTGGTCGGCCATGGCGACATATCGCTGCCTCTCCTCCCGTCTCTGCCGGTGAGCAGACACGCTGGGCGGCTGTGGGGCCGGGGCGGAGGGCTTGGGACCGGCACTCCTGCTGCGCTGCTGCCGGAACACCGGCAGCCTCTGGCGGATGTCTGCGGACACCAGCCGGGACTCCAGCGGCGGCAGGAGGGACAGCGAGCTCCACAGCTGCCGGGCATGGGACACATCCTCCGGAGAAGAGCCGTCAAACACGGTGAAGCATTTATCTAAGTCCTCCTGCTCAACTGATGCAGACATTTTAATTACAGAAAAGTGTTAAAAAGAAACTTGAATCAAGTGAAGTTACCTGTTGTTTGGTAGTCATTAGTCACCATGGAAACCAGACGTCGCATAAACCTTTCAAAATAAAAGTACGTTAGGCCCATAGTATGTTAGCTAACTTGATTTCCCCTTAAGACAACTGAGAGTTTACTCAAAAATATCAGTATTCGTAATATGATTGTCAACCCAGTAACGGTTAAACGTTACTGGGTTGACAATCATATTACGAATACTGAAAACGATATTCAACAACAAATTTGTAAGTATTATAAATAAGTAAGTATACTTACACATTTGTTCAGCAGGATGTTAACACCGTTTATTATTATATATTTTTTAAGCTACAGTTCACTAAGATAAACAAACTAGGCCTACATCTCGGCCCTTGACCTATGCCCTTGGCTCAACATTCACCACCCTGTCCACTCTGTCGGATCCGTTTTAGTAATATGTCCGGCTTCACATATCCCTTTTGGTTTGTAAGTAGGCCTATAGGCCTAACGATATTTGGGAATTAGCCAATATTAAATATGATATATATCATAGTGTAGCCTATGTTGTAGGCTATAGTCGTTTGTGTAAGTGTTAAATGATTATGTGGAAATCAACAATCAACTACAGCTGGCAAATGAATGTTTTGAAGCATAAACTGTAAACGTAAAAAATAAGAGTTAAATTATCGGAAACTTAAAGTTGTTTTAAGTAGACTGCTTGAGTGAATTTAGCAGCCAAGAATAATAACAGAAACAATTGCTCAATATCAGAAAAAAACCCAAATTCTGTTTCGAACATTTATGCTTTTGTTTTGAAGGCAAAACCTCTCCTGCTTCTGTGATTGGCTGACTGGACGTCTCTGCCAACTTTGGAAACGAGGTGGGTCGCGCGCGCTGCTGCTCCACCCCCAGGTGTCGCGGGCCGGTTTAAATAGTGAGAAAGGAGGAAGGACATGACCATCATCATCATCTTCATCACAGTTCATTTACCTGACATGATATTCTCATTTCCCTGGAGTGGAGTCTGCATCCTGCACTGAGAACTGGAGAACTGCACAGTGAGTACAAATACTTAATTTATTATATATATTTTATATACTTTTTATACGACCATATTTAATACAGAAGACAAGGGCAGGCTAATACTCCCATGTAATGAATTCAGCTGAAATAACCTGCTGAATTAATTTGAATGTGCAAAAAAATAACTTGTTTATAAAAGTTATGTCACTTTTAGACCAATATGTGACAATATTAATTAATTATTAATAGAGTTGTTAATTAAGTAGATATGAACATTGATTAAAAAACCAGTAGCCTGCTACATTATCCTGAATTTCTTGTAGTGTTAAATGGTTAACACTTCTTGGTATTTGGATCATTATGGAGGATCATTGACCTTCACTTAAATCATTAAATGTCTTAGTAAAAATTTCCGAAATCTTCATTAGAGATTCCTGCTCACATACCTGCTCTGTTGTGCATGCACGCCTGTGCCACCCTTGGGTGCACCTTGTGACATGTCACCATTTTGGTGTAAACGGTGAGCTTGGCTGGACACATGAGCCGCACCTTATAAGGTAGTATGCCTGCTAAGTCCCGTAGCATCCCTCTTTGGGCTACCAAAGCTACCAGGAGCAAAGGGGTTAGCCAAACATGGGCATTCCAGCATGGCAGCCGAGTTGTTTGATTATAGGTATTATCTTCTGTGTGCTGCTTTTCATGTTTTATTGCCTGCTCTTCCATCGGAGGTCAACGCAGCCTTGTGACCTGCAGGCAGAGGCAGAGAAGAGGATAAGGGAGTAAGTAGCTCATTGTGAACCTGTAGGAAAATACACTGAGGCAGTTATCTGCAGTAATGTGTCATAAATGTAAATTAAATTAGAGTGAAAGTCGGATGCAAAAAGGCAGCAGTTTGAGAGACGAGGATGTGTTTTATGATGCTGGTTTGTCCTCTGTGTGATGTGTTGTAAAACTATCCTCCTCTGTTGGATGATAATTGAGCTCTTTAAATCTTACGCTGCTTAAGTACTAATTCAAATTGTTTTGACGAGTTGTTGGGTTAGGTTGGGTTTCTTTGCTCACTGTATGCTTCCAGCTCTTTAATCACATCTGATTAACCAAGGAAGTTTTTGAGTGTTAAACCCTTGATATATATTAAAATAGATTTATTTTTACCAGGCTTTAACTTTGATTGTTTATTCTCAAAGCATAAATATAAAATGTTACAAAGAAATAGTTGAAACTAACGGTCAACGTTTTTCGCTTACTTTTTTTAGGTTCCGTTTTCTTCGGTCCGCAAGACTTTTCACAACACTTTGTTAGTCAATTAACATTTTATTACAGTACAAGTTCATTTTACAGCACCTTTTTTAACAAAAGCAATTCAACGTGCTTCCAATAAATCATAAAAAAGGCCCAAAAATATTTTTTAAGAAATACTGTAAGCTTTAAGTAGGGCAAAAGAATATAAATGGAAGTTGATAAGGTATTAATTCAAGAAAAATGATAAGAAATTGTTTTCTGGGAAATCTGATTATTTTCTTTTTTGCTTGAATAAGAGATCAATACCAGTTTCGTGTCTGTACAGTACTCTATGTATGAAGCTACCACCAGTAGCCGATTAGCGTAGCATACATACAGCTGGTAAACCGGGGACTGCGGGGTCACCGGCACCTAGAATGGTTGTTTCACAAGAAATTATGTGTTCAACTATTTATTTTCTAGCAGCAAAGATTTGCAGGATTCTGCTGCTCCTGTTGTCATGTTGTGGTTCACGTTTTCAGCTATTTTGATTATGTGGTCTGTTATGTCAGCAGGCCAAAAGTCAAATCGAGGTTAGAGGTCAACCCGACTCCCATCGACCCACCAGAGGCCGACCCAGTCGTCAGTACCGACCCAGACCCCACAGCCTCTGAATCTGAGCCTGAGATCGACTCGACTCCTGACGCTGAAACCTCCAACATGGCTGACCCGGCCCCCGACGACAGCAAGTTCCTCTTCCTGGATAACGACTTCCGCAACAGTGGGGTGGCGCAGGCGGATTGGTCCGCCAAGAAGATGGTGTGGATCCCGTCGGAGAAGGAGGGCTTCGAGACCGCCAGCATGAAGGAGGATAAGGGGGACGAGGTAAAGGACGCCAGTATGAGATAATCCAACTGTAGTCGCATAACTGCATACCAAGTACTCTGATTCTTTATTGCTTAGGAAAAGTAGAAATAACACATTCTAAATATACTCCTTTACCAGCTTGGCAATATGGAGCCAATTTAAGGTACTTGGTAGAATATTATTTCATCATATCATATCAGTAAAAAAAAGGGTTGGGTAAAAGGTAGAGTTCAGTTAAAAATACGATATTTGCCAATACTTGGGAACTGTGTTAAAATCAATTAATTTGAGAAAATTGATTTACGGCTCTTAAGCCCGATTGCCCCCGCCCTTAAGAGGTTAAAAGAGAGGATTTTAGGCTTTTCATTTTCATATATTATAGGTTACTTAATAGTTTGGGGTTTCTGGACATGAAATTGCAATTTTTGGGGAAATATTAAAAAAATGTATAGTCTAAATGAGTTACCATTAATTTAAATAGTTATCGGCACATTAATCGATATTGGAAAAATAATCGGTAGTTGCATTAAGCAGAGACTAAAGTGCAGAACTTCAGAAAATGTTGAAATGGTCATATAACAATAACAAAAGTCAAGGTTTTAATGTTCATTGGCAACAATCTGACTTTTTTCCAAAAATAGTTTTTGTTTGTGTTTATCTGTATTTATTATTTTCAATCTGTTGGTACAACATTTATTTAATTAAAAACATTAGCGGAATCTGTCGAACACTGAAGTTGCATCTTGTGACGTGATTTTTTTGTGTTATTCTTTTTAATTCTGTTTTTATGGAAAATGTTGGAAACAATAAGGTCTTAAACGACAACACTGAGGCAGGCAAAGCTTTGATTCCTGGGTGTGTTTTGGGCTGCAGGTGGTGGTGCAGCTCTCTAACGGTCAGAAGGTGACGGTGAACAAAGACGACATCCAGAAGATGAACCCGCCCAAGTTCAGCAAGACGGAGGACATGGCCGCCCTCACCTTCCTCAACGAGGCATCTGTCCTCCAGAACCTGCGAGAGAGATACTTCTCCAGCCTCATCTATGTGAGCCACACACACACACACACACACACACACACACACACACACACACACACACACACACACACACACACACACACACACACACACACACACACACACACACACACACACACACACACACACACACACACACACACACACACACACACACACATACACAAACACTTATAATTGTCAGAAAGTTATCAAGGCACCTAACATTAAAAAAACACGATTTTGCAGGATAAGATGAGCCAATAAAGGCAAAATACATTTTTTGTTTAACTCAAAGTATAATCATAGTATAATCCAGTTCAAAATATTTGTCCTAAAATGTATCATAGGGGATTAAATAAATCATATGTGCAAGAAGAAGGAAAAATGACATGAAGACACCAAGGATTACTTTCCATAAAAAAAAAAGCATAAACTAAGAGTTACGGGAAATCAAATAACATTTCTTAAACAATAGTGCCGTATTGATGTCTTGAGGATGACTCCTCTCTGGATAAAAGTGAAACAATGAAAGTTACATACAAATCTAACTGATGTTATCTCTGTGGAAAAAGCTCTTTTATATCTACATGTAAAACCTAACTTTGAGGACTAAAAAGGAGCTTCCTAAGCCAGAGGTAACCGACTGCTTTTGTTCTCCTTATAAACCCACACAGACTCCACTTTTAGGTGAAAAAGTCCTTGTTCAGGGACTGGGTGCAGGCGATATAGACTCAGGATGTACTGAGAGGATCAAGGGCTTATGGTTTTTATTTTTTCAGTCTTACAAAGTCTAATAAGGTAGGGCGATGTAAAATAAAAAAAGCCACGCTGGTGCATCTAATACAGACGGCCATGAAGATAACTGCCGGTTAGGAACTGAAGTCCCTCCGCTCCATATATGAGCAGGCCAAACCTGAGCAGTTAAAAACAATATTATACTGTGAACTGTGCATTTTAGAGGTGATCCCATAATGTAAAGTAAATACATGATTGAGAACCACCTAAACCTGGATTCCAAATCAAATAGGATGCAGGGTTTTAATTCAAACTGCAAGCAGTCATTTTAATGTTTGGTTTTTTGCATGATATTAAAGTTTTGGAGGCTGTGCAGTATGTCAGAAAAGCTTGTGTAAACTATTCATATGGGATTTTAAGGTTTAAAATATATGATTTATTTATGTTTCAGCGAATATATTTGGGTTTATTTTAGTTGGAATTAATAAATGTGTCTGAGATTTAATTTTGTTCTCAGTTAATCTGAAGCAAATGTTTTGATTTGTTGACAAATTAATTTCCTTTTCTGTAGAAAATGGTGAAACATTTCCAAAACCCAAAAGATACTTACTTTATATCACGTCAATGGTGAAGTACCAGTATATCAACTGTATATGCTAACATATTGTTGCGTAAGGCACAATTAAACCAAAACAAACAAAAGGCACCAGAGGAAAAGAGAAAACAAGACATTTTTAGGAAAACCTGCTCGTGCCAAGTGAGGGGCTCAGCAATCTGAAACCTTTAAACAAGGAAGGAGAAGGCAGGAACAGTACCACACTGCTGAAATAACTGTACCTTTCCCCCGGTCCTTTAATGTGTTGGTGGATTGATGGATTACCGAACAGTGCTATGAGGCACAGGTCCAGAGCGCCCTGGCCTTGACTGAAACAAAGTCTACAAAGCAACTACAACAGAGTACAACATTATGTGTACCTTGCTTCTTCGTAGGACAGATGCTGCAGCCTTTTGCATGTATGTCTGCCCATGGAGAGGTTAAAAGTAAAGGAAACAAACAAGATAAAGCTGACATAATTGTATAGGAAAACACGTTCTAAGGATTTATTGATATGAAACATTAATACACAAAGCATTTTTGATGTGTCTATTACACCATGTCCCTACTATGTTCTTGGAAAATCATGATATAAGGAGGACAGTGTTCCAGGACAATCTGTTCAGCAGAGTGTTTATCACTTTTCACAACCAGAGAGATGATCAGTGCTCTGACGTTGTGACTTCCTCTCTGTTCCCACAGACATACTCTGGTCTGTTCTGCGTGGTGGTGAACCCCTACAAGATGCTGCCCATCTACTCTGAGAAGATCATCGAGATGTATAAGGGCAAGAAACGCCATGAGGTGCCGCCGCACATCTACTCCATCACAGACAACGCCTACAGGAACATGATGCAGGGTAACACTGCGTGTGTGTCAGTGATCAATCACATATATATACTGTATATATATACATACGGTATATATCATCAGCATTCCCGCCTTCAAAGCTCGTGTCTGAATGATAACCCTTGATTTGTGAAACTTAGCAAAACCTCTTTTGTGAATCGATACCACCATGTATGATATTGACATTCAAAGGGTACATTTACCAGATTACAAAACAATTAGCACATATTTTGTCCTTTCTAATAGGAGAAAAAAAAGCCTAAATGTTTTCCCTAGCCACTTAAGCTTACCTTTAAGGGATGGTTTTCATTGGTTCAAGAGGCGGATCTGAACAGATTGAGTGTTTTAAGACATGCCGAAGTGCCTTTCTGTAAGGCACTAGACCGCCGCACTACTCCCTACGCACTGTATATATTATAACTAACAAAAACAAACTTTTCTATGTGAGGGAAAACTATTCTAAATTGCTGGAGTATCCCTTTAGAAGTTAAAGATGTTCTGCAATACTGCACTCATTTTGATTTCTAATTACTTTTATGCGAACCTCTTCATCATTGTTATTGTTTTGAAACTTTGAATTCCCTATTTTCTCACGTTTAGAATTTGTAATGTTTAAAATACGCTGATTCATAGCACAACATGCCTCGAAAACTATTAATGCAACCGTCCTAAGTGAGTTTTTTCCTAGAGTACCTCACCACACAGACACAATAGCCCAGTGAAAGCTGCTTCATGAAAGTGAAATGGTGCAGGGAGCAGCCCTGCCTGGAGCTCCGGAGCGTGCCGCCTCATGGTCCACCGCTGACCTCAGACCAACTGCGTAGTTTCCACTCTGCCCCAGAATAGCCATACATGGAGCAGGCAGACCAGATTACAGCGATGGAGCCCCGCATCCACCTGCTATTTTTAGACCATATGAGTGATGGAGGCTAATCTCCCTCAGAACGAGATTTCCGAGCTGTTTGCTCTCGTGTCCGAATGAAGAAGCACCGCCTTCAGAGTTCATGTTTGGTGTGTTCAGCCCAGCTTCCACTAATGAGTTCAGCTCAGTCAACATTTCACATTACTTCCCCCTCTTACATCCCTCTCCCCCTCTGTCTTTCTCTCCCCCCACAGACCGTGAGGATCAGTCTATTCTCTGCACGTGAGTCAAAACACACTAAACCATTTTCCATCACACTGCACCATGCATGTGAGCACACACAGTGTCTATCAATTCAAAGACCTATAGTCATTTCCTGGAATACATGTTCCTGTTTATGTTTTGGGATTCAGATTCTGTCCCCAAAAGGGAAGCAAGTCCCCATGTGACTTATTTTGTATGGATGTACGTTCAGGTTTATGTAAGGCTGCAACTAACGGTTAGCATACCAATTCATGTGAAAGACTTTTTTTTCAATTAGATTATAATTTATTTCTCAAAGTAATTCATCTAGATAATCGCCAAAAGAACGATATGACTAATTCAACATTTTGTTAGACAGAATTAAAGGCAACAATTCCCAAAATCTATTGATGTAAAGCAAACATGCTAATACAATCCAGTTCCAAAGTCCCACATATTAGTTTGATATTACAGCACTTTTTGTGTTACAAGTTTTGCTTATGCTTACCTAGTGAATTTAGGCAAAAAAACGATGCAGAAACAAAAACACAAAGTTAGAAATATAAACCCCTGCATGTGTGTTTTGGAATGTTCCTTTCCATTTGTCAGAAAGAATACATGGTGTGGAAGTAAAATAGCACACAAACTCAAGAATAGCCAGGGACCCGCCCTAGTTCGTAAGTCTTTAAAATGTCAGCTAATATTATTAATAAAAGGCTTTAAATTGTGAAAATTCTTCTTTTGTTACAGAAAAAAGATTTAAAAATCCCCCAAATAATCAGTTTACTATGATGGAAGACAATAACATGTTTAAGTCAATAAACTATTGATTGAGCATCTACTTGTTGCATCCCTAATCGAATGTTCAGGAACTTTATATTGTCACAAAATATCATCTTTAAAAATACCCTGCTTCACTTCACAGTATTTATTTGGCATTCGGTGTCCATTTTAAACTCTCATTTAATATATCGTCTGCCCTCTAATATAGTCTATTTTTCTCCTTCCATCCTCATCTCATGTATCCCCCCACCCCCCCTGTCTGCCCCCTCTGTCTGTCCCCCAGAGGTGAGTCTGGAGCGGGGAAGACAGAAAACACCAAGAAGGTGATCCAGTACCTGGCTGTGGTCGCATCCTCGCACAAAGGCAAGAAGGACGCCAATCCTGTGAGTGCTGATTCCTCCAGAAGAAAATGAATCTACTACTAGACAATGACTTAACACATCTAATAACAAATACAAGTTGAATATATCAGAATATAATTTATAAGAACAACAAAAGTAACTCTTTATAAAAAATGTGTCTTATAGTGTGAGATACATTATCTCCAAAATATTTTAATAAATATCTTAACTTTCTGCCAAGTGACGATCTTCCCCAGCCGCATTATGTTTGCCAAATGTTTGCCAAATGTTTGCCAAATGTTGCAAAAGGGCAGTGGTAGTCACACAACATGTTAATACCCAGAGGTAACTGCTAAGAGTTCTCAATCTGATTAATGTACAGTTCGAGGGGTATACTGTAATAGTGAATGCTAAATGATATTTCCGATGCATTTTATTTTAATATGCAGCCTTTTAATGTTGTAATTTCTGTTAACTATTGTTAAATACTAAAAATGTTTTACCGGAAGTACTATACTTAGTTACTTTACTGGAAACACTTGAAAATGATGGTTTGCTTCATGAAGAATGCCTCAATTTAGAAAAATTTTGGTTACTATTATAACTAAAAATGGATTCTTCTTACACATCCTCCATAGCTCTGATTAAAAGTCATAGCTTCTGTTCTCTCAGCTGCGTATGATCCTATCTGTGTTTTTTATCATCATTTATTAATTTAAGACCCTAAGCAGACACTTTTTGGAGAATGTAACTTTTTAAATGAAGATAAATAAAGTTTCTGACCAGTTTTTTTTTGTTTTTTTTTGTTTCCTGCTTCAGCAGCCACAGCAGCAGCAGGCTGGATCTCTTGCCTACGTGAGTATAACAATTCACACTTTTACATGATAAATAGTTGAAATTCTGTTATTATCTTACTGTTGAATACACACAATAATCAAGAGATATATTATATATGCAGTAAAGAAATATTTATATATTTTAATTCAAGTTAAAGAAGTGATGCAGGTACATAATTAGGACTGTCTACGCAGGACTTACCTGCATTGACAGTCTTAAGTATCAGCATCTAAATGCACAAAAGATACCAAATGTAAAAGTATTATTGCATTAAAATGATTTTGAATTAATGCATTTATCACTTTAATGTTACCAACCACAGCTTAAAATAACTATTTACTTCTGTGTTGTTTAATTATAATATTATATCATTATTTATAAGTGATTTTATAGTCTGTTTTAAACTTGAAATGGAAAGTGAAGTACTTAAGTAAATGTACAAATGTGTTCTGTGCTGTAGGGGGAGCTGGAGAAGCAGCTGCTGCAGGCTAACCCCATCCTGGAGGCGTTCGGAAATGCAAAAACCATCAAGAACGATAACTCCTCACGATTTGTAAATGATTAAATCCCTTATTTGAAAAAACACTCAATAACAGCGTTAAAAAAGAAATGTACTCAGTGATTTATGGCGCCATGAAACTCACATTTGTAGTCTCTGCAGATGGAAATGTTCAGTTTATGGCATGACCTTTTATGAGATGAATGAACTTATGCGTGGTCCTTAAAAAAAGGAATCCTAATATCATAACTGTCTTCTGTCCACAGGGAAAGTTCATCAAGCTCAACTTCGATGTGACCGGATATATTGTTGGGGCCAACATTGAAACCTGTATCCTTTAGTTTGTTATTATATGAATATACATTGGAAAGAAATAGATAAAAAGTGTTATTTTTGCCAGCCCTGGTTATTTTTTTTAACCAGATCAGACCTGCTAGAGAAGTCTCGCTGTATCCGGCAGGGAAACACAGAGAGAGCCTTTCACATCTTCTACTACCTGGTGGCCGGGGCCAAAGACAAGCTGAAGGGTGAGAGGGGTTTTCACTGTGACATTTAACAGTTCATTATTTACCTTTTTTAAAAATTATAATACAGCTTTTATTCAAAATCCATACTTTATTAATTGGGCAATTAGTCAGAGTAACTAAGAGTAAACAACAAAGAAAAACACCAAGCAGCTAAAGTGGGAAATACAAAAAAATAAAGATTAAAAAGCATATGTTTTATAAGACATGAAACCCCTATTAAAGAGACAGATGTTGTTTTGTTTTTTAAATATTTGTTCCTCTCAATATCTTTTGAATTTCATGATAAATCATTTAAAATAAGAAGAATGAAAAATGTGCATTTTTGTAAAAAATAAATAAACAATAATCTCATTAATTAAAGAAGAAGATGTTTTTATGAAGACAAGAATAGTCAAAATAACTTTTGGAAATAATCAAATAAAAGTAATAACAAAAAAGGATAGTTTTACAAATTGTTTCATTTATACATTTAATACAATTCATTTACATTATTATTCAATTTTTTATGTATTTAATATTGAAGACTTTTGGGCTTCACTGGGGCCAGGAGTTCTTAAAACAATGGTACTTTATTTTTCAGTTAAGCATTTATTTGCATCATCAATACATTCATAATTATACATTTTAAGAATAATTGTTTGTATTTATTATCCATTGATCCTACTGAATGTCACTTTAATTTCTCACACACGGATCCAAGAGTTCAGTTTCTAATAGATTCAAATGTAAATATTATAATGTGTGTGCAGAGGAGCTCCTGCTGGAGGACTTCAGCGCCTACCGCTTCCTGGTGGCTGGACACGTGGAGATCCCGGGTCAGGAGGACGACGAGATGTTTCTAGAGACTCTGGAGGCCATGGAGATCATGGGCTTCACCGAGGAGGAGAGGATAGGTACAGAGGGCTCTCCAAAACTCCAACGATACACCATTTCTCTCTATGAATAGATCTTACAACAAATATTTTGTTTGACTTAGAGGTGGAATAAGTACTCAGATCCTCCTTTAGTAAAAGCAGGAAGAAAATGGTGTTAATATTCCATTAAAAGTTAAGTCCCGAAATAAAAAAAGACCCTTAAGTGAAGGTACAGAGGTATTATGAGCTAAAAGTACTCAGTATTCAAAATAGATTGATCACAGTTATATATTATTATAGAATACTATATTATACTGTTATTATCACTCACGCATGCTTGAATGTTGTTAATGTGGAGACATTTGAGATACTATGTAAAACACCAGGTAAATTAGTAGTACAGTACATATCCTAAAGCCTTTTATATGTAAAAAAACTATTAATGATAAATAGATGTGTTATATCAAATACACTATTCCCTGAAATGTGGTGGAATAAAAGTATAAGTAGCCTAAACTAAATATACTCAAGTAAAGTACCATCATGTCAAAATAGAACTTAAGTACAGTACTTGAGTAAATGTATTTAGTTACATTTCTCCACTGGATTTACCAGCTACAAAATTGTAATCTCATTACTTGTATGAGGCGGAAACTGTTTTTGGACTTCTTTAACATTTCTGTAAATTCCTGCACCGTCTTGATGTCCTTCCTCCTGCAGGGATGATGAAGGTGGTGTCCACCGTGCTCCAGCTGGGCAACGTCAAGTTTGAGAAGGAGAGGAGCAGCGAGCAGGCCACCATGCCCGACGACACCGGTAACCTTTTTAAACACACCACCAGCACTGTTGGTAAATGTATGTTTCAAACGTCTCTGACTTTCTGTTACCCATCAACCCCAGCTGCACAGAAGCTGTGTCACCTGCAGGGCATCAACATCACCGACTTCACCCGCGCCATCCTCAACCCCCGCATCAAGGTGGGCCGCGAGGTGGTGCAGAAGGCGCAGACTAAGCAGCAGGTAATGGAAAAACTGACGCAATTAAAACTCAAATATGATTTCAAGGTACATTTGTAATATTTTATTTTTTATTTTATGAAAAGCTCATGTGGCAAAACTGGGCAAATATGGAAGCACTTACTCTCAAAAAATTAAAGACATTAATTAAATATTTCTTGAGTATTAAAGGGTCAATGTTGGAGCAACACAAATATACAAATAATTATTCAAAAATCTATATTTAAAAATTCTAAAGAAATGATAAACGGAAAGTATGATTTTTGTAATCCTGTTTTTTCTGATGTTGCATTTCGAAATCTAGACATAATTGGTACTTTAAAAAAAAGCCTCTTGGATAAATGTCACACATTTCCCGAGTGGCAATTTCTGCATAAAAATAGGTCTTAACTTTTTTAAGTTCTGGGTGAAATTAAAACATGTCCACCTTCAGAATTCCCTTTTCTTCCTCCCCCTCCTCCTCCTCTTCTTCCTCCTCTTCTTCCTCCCCCTCCTCCTCCTCCTCAGGCTGACTTTGCGGTGGAGGCTCTGGCTAAGGCGATGTATGAGCGTCTGTTCCGTTGGATCCTGGCGAGAGTGAACAAGACTCTGAACAAGAGCAAGAGGCAGTCGTCCTCCTTCCTCGGCATCCTGGACATCGCTGGCTTTGAGATCTTTGAGGTGAACGCTTTATTAAAACTAGGGGTGGGAATCACCAGGCTCCCCACAATACGATACTATCGCGATACTTAAGCCACGATACAATAGTATTGCGATTCTACGATTTGCTAAGTATTGTGATGCGATATATTGCGATATATTGCGATTGCGTCTTCCCTTCCTGGTTAAAAAATCCCAAATAAGCATTTCTGATTTCTTTCCTCGCTGACTCCATCTTTGTTTTGACTAACTTCCTGCGCCAATCCCAATGACTTTACCCATGGCCATGACCGCACAAGAAAAAGCTCAGCACCAGTGATTTGAAAAAGCAATTGTTACCAAAAACTTTAATTTGGATTTGCAAAATGAAACGTTTATAAAATAAAATATCGACACTTGGCGTCCGTGTATCGATACAATATCGCCATTCACAGTATCGCAATATATGCTGTATCGCAGTGGCGAGCCGTGACTTTTATACCTAGGCCCTCTGACCACCCCCTTCCCTCGAAAAAAAAGAAAAGTTATCCTATCCATCCTCCTGTCCTTTTGGATGAAGCACTTGATGGCGGGGTCATGCAGCTGGTCCTTTGCCGCTCCAGTTTATCATTGTAACTCAATCTTGAAAATGACTCGGTTAATAATTTCGCAACAATGTCATCACTATCACTGACATGAGCCATCATTAACAAACTTATGCTAATCATAAATCTATCGATCATAAATCTATCGATTAGATTTATGATTCGAAAATTATAAAAGGTAAAACTAATGAAAAATATTTAAAAAAATGTTTTTAATGTTTTCAAATATTATACTTTAGAATATCTTAGGCCCTCAGAGACGGCTCGCCACTGCTGTATCGATTATTTGCCCCACCCCTAATGAAAACATACATTGACATACTTTTATTCATTGTTGGATTACTTACTACCACTGGTAGTATTCACACTGTTTCCTAACCACTGTAATGTTTCTGCGCCTCAGGACAACTCCTTCGAGCAGCTGTGCATCAACTACACCAACGAGCGGCTGCAGCAGCTCTTCAACCACACCATGTTTGTGCTGGAGCAGGAGGAGTACAAGAGGGAGGGTATCGAGTGGAGCTTCATCGACTTCGGACTGGACCTGCAGCCCTGCATCGAGCTCATCGAGAGGGCGGTCAGTCACCGGTCCTTACCTAAAACCCAACAGAAACAAAGATAAGATGTTTCCTAAGCTAAGCCTCTGTGTGTGTCTCTGTCCTGCAGAACAACCCCCCCGGTATCCTGGCCCTGCTGGACGAGGAGTGCTGGTTCCCCAAAGCCACCGACGTCTCCTTCGTGGAGAAGCTGCTGAACACACACACCGGCCACGTCAAGTTCTCCAAAGCCAAACAACACAAAGACAAACTGATATTCACTGTCATGCACTACGCCGGCAATGTGAGGGCCTTTCAGACAAAAAACCTGACAATGTTTTCCTTTTTGTCAAAAAATAGTATATTGCTATCCCTATAGAAGTTCCTTCTCTGCGCCACAAAGCTATATTATTTTTCTCAAAAACTACTAAAACACAAATCAATGAGCCACACTGCATTAAGTGTTTCTTTTTCTCCATAAAGTAATGTTTTCATGACATTTTGCATCAGGTATATTGGTTGTCTAGAAATATACAACCTTTGGATAGATTGTGAAAAACATGAATTTTTAAACCCTTATTTGGACTTTACTCTCAACAGTAATTGGTTTTGTAGCTGAGGGATTCCTCATGAAATGTGTTGAACAATAGAGATTAACCGCATCCTGATCACCATCAACGCTCTTCCATTATGTTTGAAGGTTGAGTATAACGCAGCCAGCTGGCTGACTAAGAACATGGACCCCCTGAACGACAACGTGACGGCGCTGCTCAAAGTCTCCTCCAGCAACTTCATCCAGGACCTCTGGAAAGATGGTTGGTATCGAAATAAATAGTAATAACATGCAATGACACTCAAAGTCCTCTTACATCACATAAGAGCTGTAATAAAACCTACAATAATCAACAAAGCACCCGTTTTTAACCCTCAAATAATCATTTCATTAGTAAATATAGCTCAGTTATGAGTTAGAAATCGGTGTAAAATCAGTATGTATTTGTTGCCGTCAGTGGACCGTGTGGTGGGACTGGAGACGATGACCAAGATGTCGGAGAGCTCAGCTCCCACTAAATCTAAGAAAGGGATGTTTCGCACGGTGGGTCAGCTGTACAAGGAGTCTCTGGGGAAACTGATGACCACGCTGCACAACACGCAGCCCAACTTCGTCCGCTGCATCATCCCCAACCACGAGAAGAGGGTAGGAAGCTTCAAACCTTTATAAAGCTATTTTTTTATTAATCCAATTTTTTACATCTACAAGGAAGTTAAATGTTAAGCTTGAAAAAGTTGATCAGAGGTCCTCGGAGGACAAAAGTATCAGCATCAAAAGACTGACTTTTCACTTAGTCTTTTAAATAATTCAGTCCTATCATCCAATCATAGCTTACAAATGTATTTCCAGAATGTATTTGTGTGCCTGGAACCAGTAAGATAGCATGTTAATGAAAGAACTCATGAATCTTTTGAATAATAGTTAAAAACAAGAACATTTTGCAATTCCATTTGTATAAGAAAGTGGGATTGAAAAAAATAATAATTAGAAAGCACAATAGGTCCCTAGTGATGCATACGAGTTGAGGTGACATGCTACGTTATATCTCCCTATATACACCCCGAACAATGATTGTATTTGAGCTGAAGCTGCGGTGTGTTGACTGAGTGTGCTGCTGCTGCTGCTGCAGGCGGGGAAGATGGACTCCAACCTGGTGCTGGAGCAGCTCCGCTGTAACGGCGTGCTGGAGGGCATCCGCATCTGCAGGCAGGGCTTCCCCAACCGCATCGTGTTCCAGGAGTTCAGACAGCGGTGAGCAGACCACTCACTGTTAGTGTTCTTTGGAGGTTCCATAACTATATTATTTGTGTGCTAATGTTAATAGAAATGTGAATAATAGTATAAACAACACCCTTACTATAGCAGCCTACAGTAAGCATTACATTTGTAAAGATAGTATGCAGAGCAGACATCCTGATGGGAAAAGTGTTTGTCTATTCATTTAAACATGGTTTTGCACTTCCTCACTTACTGTAGACCACTGGAGGAAAACACAGATGTACACATTTTCCAATTAAATAAATAAAATAACCAAAAGCATCAATTGGACAGGGTCCACAAAAAGTGTTTTTACTTTTTTTAATTAATAAATGTCAGGGCAAAATGAAAACAAGTGTGTTTCTCTGTTTGCAGATATGAGATTCTGGCTGCCAGCGCCATCCCAAAAGGCTTCATGGACGGGAAGCAGGCGTGCTGTCTGATGGTACGTTTTGTATTTTTAATGCTTTTTTTTTTATGCATACATTCAGTGTTAAAATGAAAGTCAGAGGATGTTCACATTAACAGCTCCTGTGCAGGTCTTTTGAATATGGATTTAGCTGAATTAGGAGGTATAATAAGCAGTTATTCCCCTGTCCTCCCTCTCCTCTCCTCCTGCAGGTGAAGCACCTGGACCTGGACCCCAACCTGTTCCGCATCGGGCAGAGTAAGATGTTCTTCAGGACCGGAGTGCTGGCCCAGCTGGAGGAGGAGCGCGACCTCAAACTGACCGTCGTCATCATCGCTTTCCAGGCACAAGCACGAGGCTTCCTGGCCCGCAAGTAAGAGAAACATATTGAGACACTACACTTTCACATACGAGGAATTTATTTTAGAGTATTGGTGAAAACCTTAACATTAAAAATGATGCACAGTATATGTCAATACAAAGTTAATCGCTCTGCAGGTTTAACAATTAAAGTGCTGTGTAAAATTGTCAGAGGTATGTGCAAAGGATTTAGATTAAGGAACTAAGTACTTATTAAATATAAAATAAATCTGAGGTACTTGTACTTGAGTATTTCAATTTTGTGTCACTACTGCACTCCACTTTTCATTTACAGCTATCAGACAACTTGTGTTACTCTGCATATTCGGATGTGTAGCATCTAATATTGAAATAATAATGTGAAAATGCATTAAGTAATAACATCTTAAATTAACCTGATCAAAATTACTTAGTTATTTGGCCATTTTTGTTGAATTCTGAATACATCTTCAACCTTTTGCGGCTCACATCATATTATTTATTTGTGTGTTTTCAGAGCGTTCAATAAAAGGCAGCAGCAGCTGACAGCGATGAAGGTGATCCAGAGAAACTGCGCCTGTTACCTCAAACTGAAGAACTGGCAGTGGTGGAGGCTCTTCACCAAGGTTACACACCTTTATCAGAGCAACGTTTTGTCTTTAAGTGTTTCAGATATAAGATTAACAAAGAGGTATTCTCCATTATTCATTATCCCTGTTTTTATTTCAGAAAAATAATATATCAATGTATGACAATACAAATAAATGATATTCCTGAAGTATCAATTGTAAAAAAAAAAGTGCTGCATAATAAGTAATCGGCCTGCGTAAAGAGAACAATTACAAGTTAATTTACAAATTAAACAAGAAATAAAAAAACAATTAAACAAACTGAAAATGCTTTACAATAAAAGTATGATTTCAGAAGAGACTGTAAGAAAACCATGAAGTGTATATTCAAAATGTAAATGTCTCTCTCTCTCTGTGTGTGTGTGTGTGTGTGTGTGTGTGTGTGTGTGTGTGTGTGTGTGTGTGTGTGTGTGTGTGTGTGTGTGTGTGTGTGTGTGTGTGTGTGTG